AAAAGGCTCGCAGAGTAGCTTCACAGTGATTTTGAATTCCTATACTATACACCATGGTATTTATCTTTCCTTTGCCGAAGCTGCTGAAAATGATGATTCCAAAAACTGTGCATGAACAAGATACAATACCAATTTGACCACAGGCACAAAAAAGAATGAAAATTGTATCTAAATGTATTGGCACTTTGTGATTCTCATTCATTGTTATTTTGCAAAAACTAAGTGTGGCAAATGAATATGTAGCAAAATACTGTAAAATTATACCACTCGTTATGCCATCTGATACAATCCCGAGTTTGTAGCCGACTTGTGGAATATATGGTTTAAAGTTTAAGATTAACTTACCACATAGGAAAGAGAACATATAAAGAACTTTACAACCAGAAAAAGATGAATACCCTGGCAGATCCTTCTCTATGATAAATGCAGTTATTCCTTTCGAGCAAGATGCCATATCAGTTTTTGCATAGACAACCTGATCCAACCAAAATAATTAGCACATCATACATCCAGACCGTATTTTCTGATGCTAATTCTGAAGGTTCAAAACAGTTAAGAGAGAAGGCATGTTAAGGATTTTCCAATTAAAACCAACTATTTGAAACCCCACCCAAGGCGAATAGCCAATGCTTGTATATGGTTTCATCAATTTGTATTATGCTTGGGTAAAAAAAGTCATCATGAAATCAGAGAAAAAGAATTGCAATTAACACTTGGGAGAAATCTTTTTAAAAAAATGCACGAATTATGATCCCAAGAATGCTTCTCTTTACAAGAAATAAAAGAAGATATAGTTCTGCATGCCGAAATTGCTAAAACATTGTTAGCCATGTTACAATAAGAAGCAAACTATTTCATTAGAATTTAATATATCAAGAAATCAATAGAACCGGAGAAAAAAAGAGGAGTATTCTTCTACAGTGTATACTGGACCCTTTTGCATTCTTCCATTTATAAAGTGTCTGTTTCCAATGAGAACCAATCATGCTGTAGGAACTTAGCACCATGAGATGCTATACATGATGACTTTATCAGTCATATACAATGAGAATCAATGGAGTAGAAATAATATCATCGGGTTGCTGGAACTGTTATTCTACTATTACTATGCAAAATTTGCATTGTACATGACCGATCATAAAATCTCATATGATGTATTTTAGCAGAATGCTTATTTTAACACCAGGATTTGGTTCTCATTTTGTACATTCCCTGCGTTTATACATTCAATTTGCTATGATCTTACCTACACCTCAAAATGAGAAATTACAAAACTATCGTCGAGGTACAAACAGCAGCAATATTGCAAATTTCCAAGTATCCATCACATTTGCTTGTGTAAAAACCTACAATATCTGGAACATTTAAAAACAGACACAACTCTCAAAGGAGTAATCCAGTAACTGTCAGACCTTATAATTTTCAAGAACATTTGGGATATTTGTAGATAGGGAGAAGTCTCAGAGTAATTTTGTATCTGACCTCTCATAAATCATAATCATGTCATTATGGAGGACAGGAGATGAATGTAAGGCATCTATGTCAACAAAAGCAAAACATCCTGGTTAATAATCATGTAACTAGTGGTTCACTAAGGTTAACATGTAAATGCTAACCATAATATAAGCCCAACAAATAAATACTAAAGTCCCTAAGTTTATATATGGACATCTTCATAAGTAAATCATCATTCATCCAAAATTCTAAGGGTCGTAACATGGTATCACAGCCACCCAAATAAGTTATTTTTTTCCGATCTCACCTCCCACACCATTCAACTCGCCGCATCGTGTTAGACTTCCGGCCATGTTTTGTTGTCGGAATCCGTGCGTGTAAGCCACACGCACTGCCGGAAGTTTCTGCAGGCCATCCCACGCACCGGCGTGTGAGGGTGCGTGGCTTGCCGGAATTTTTTTCCGGCGAACGTCCGTGGGCTCAGATTGTGAGGCATTGCTGCCAGAGTTTCCAGTTTTGTGATTAGGGAGGTTTAGATGTTCGTTTTTCCTTTTCTAGATCCATCACTTGTCGGGGTTAGGGTACTCTAATCCGTCTCGGCGCTCAATTTCTTTATTTTTTGAAGTCACTAATCTGTCATGTGGTACTTCACTACCTGTCGCAGCACCTTCATTCATATTGCATCGCGGCTCGTCTCCACCTGTTTGAGATGTTGTTGTTCGCGTACCGTCCGCATATCGCGAAGGCATACCTATCGTCATACGTCGTCGAATCATGTTGCAACTTCATGCAATTGCTATCAGATGCTTGTTGTTCGCGTACGGTCCACATATCGCAAAGGCATACCTATTGTCATACGTCGTCAAATCATGTTGCAACTTCATGAAATTGCTATCAATATCACTCTTCTTGATGGTGAGAGTTATCGGGAGTGGGCTTTTTCGGCTGAAATCGTGTTGGGGGGTTGTGGTCTGACTTTGACTTTCCAGATGATGGACCTAACGGAAGGCTAATAATAGTAATGTTGCTGACATCAGAATAAGGCAAATTAATGATGGAAAAGTGATGGTTGTCATTGTCAACAATGTCGAGCAATCCATGATGATTACAAATCTTTCTTCTTTACGGACAACCAAGGGGATGTGGTCCTATTTGCACACACTTACGCAACAAATTCACATGATTAAACAAAACGACATGTCCATTGATGAGTACTACTCGACTTTTGATCGTTTGATGGGACCATTGGTGTCCATGGTACCTCAATGCTCGAGAGGAGTGTGAAGCAAATAAATTTGTTGAGAAGTTCTTTATTTATAGCTTTGTCATGGGAGTCAGAGCGAAATTTGAGTCCATTCTTACACGGTTGCTTCATAACTCTTCACTTTGGGCCTTGGGCACAGGCATTATCTACTTTGATTTGATTGCTGAAGAGTCATCTCCATTCTCTGTCAATTGCTCTACTGTCAGTATCACATAATGTCCTGACAGCTCGGATATCTTATCAACGGCTGGCCTAGCCAAGGATGCGACCTCAACCGCCGCAAGGCTTTCTCACGTGTGTACGCATATAAATCTACCCTCCTATCCACCTCTAACGAACGAGGCGAAAGGGCTAGGCTTAGTGCAACCTAGAGGTGGAGAGGCTTAGTGCACCTAGAGGTGGCTCAACAGAACTGTTTTACTAAGCATCTAGAAAAGTTGGTTGAGTATCATGCCCGCCGTGCTGCTCGGGCTCATAATTCAAGTTCTGCTACAAAGGGATTCATATCTGCGGCCACGCCACCTCTCCTGTCAATGCCCTTTAGTCTTGAGTCCTCGATTCAGGGGCATATTTTCATGTGAAATCTGACCAGTCCTAATGAGTCTTGATGGTTGCTTGCAAGGGGTCCTTGATGGTTGCTTGCAAGGCGGTCACTGGTCACTGATGGTACTTCTATTTTATTCGGACAGTTGGTGGGTACTCATGAACGTTCTTTATGCAATTCACTTTTTTCATTGCCTAATATCTCTTATGTTCTATCCATGAATCTTCTTTAAGTTGGTTAGGTCACTCATCAAAATTATTTTCTTGGATTTGATAACTCATCTTGTTTTATTCAGGATCGTCGAAGCAGGAATAGGACTGGCCATCGCCTTAGAGGTTCTCCGATCTCTTTCGCAGGTTCTATCACTCGTTTGTCCTTCATTGCTTCAGCTTCTACCTCATCCTTTGCCGAGTGCCATCATCGTCTTGGTCATCTATGTGGGTCTTGTTTGTCTACTTCGATTAGTAATGGTTGTTTATATCGTACATCTATCAAGTCTAGTTTTCATTGTAAGGGTTGCATGCTTGAAAAACAACTGTAACTCCCATACTCTACTCTACTCGCAGTTCTCATTCCTGGGGACCTTTGATCTCATTCTAATGTATGGGGTCCTTCCCCTTTTCCTACAAAATGTGGCAATAAGTATTTTATTGATGATCATTCTCGATATACATGCTATATTTTTTTTGCTCCATGTGAGCACACTAAAGTGACTTTTTCGGGGTATAATCCTAAGCATAAGGTTTTTTGTTGTTATGATTCTTTCGCTCGCATTCTTATATCTCATGATGTAACTTTTGTTGACGACCATCCTTTCTTTTATAACCCATCATCTTCTACAGAGTTTATGTCCTTCTTATGTCTTCCTCTTATTTCCTCTATTTATGATGTCCTTGTCTCTTCTTCATCTTCCTTAGTCCCAACCACTCATGATGCCTGCATCACTTATTTCTGATGAGCTTTCACCACATAAACAACTCATCACACAAGTATATACTCATTGTCCCAAAGGTCACACAACGCTTCCGCCTCATTCTCCTACCCCGGATAGTCTCAATGTTCCCATCCTGTTGATTCTAATGTGTCACATGTTATTCCTGGGGTGTGAGGTTGGTTAGATATATAATACCTATTAAGCCTCCAGATCAAGGTTGTCAAAATCGGACCGGTCAACCTACTGGTTCAATGGTTCACTGGTCCTAGTTGAACCAGTTGGACCGTTATTTAATTTATTGATATTTTTAAATATATATAATATTTCATAGATATAGTTGACTTAATTTTTAAGTTATTTAATTATTGATATTTTAAATATATAATACTTTATAAACTAGTATTTGATCCTGTGCATTTGCACATATATAAAACACGTTTTTGTTTGTATTTATTAATTAGACATGTACTTCTATCATATAAAAATTATTATTTTTTCTTAAGTTATTTTTATCATTCAAAATTAATTGAGATTTTGAATTTTATTTTAACCATGCAGCGTTTACATTAGTAACATGAATAAAATAATTTATATATTTGTGGCATATATTAAGAAAATTAACATAAATAAAAAAAAATTATTGATATTTCTGATTTTTAGAAAAAAAAATATGTGTCAATCATATTTTTCTTCCAACAATGCAACCAAATATAGCGGTTACAGCTCTGAATGTGTCAATCAACTTTAAGTTCCAACATTAGCCGTTACACATTTGAATATTTTGCTACCAAATTTAGAATTAATTTAGTAACTTATCCAAAAGTTAAATAAAAATATATATATATATATATATATTAAGGTGTAACGGTTTTAGCAGATTAGTGAGTAATTAATTAAAAAAAATGTAACTCCTTTTGGAGGGAAATGAAGATAGGTTTTATTAAATGTTTTATTAAATGCATCAGCTAGTAATTATATATATATATATATATATATATATTAAATATAGTTGACTTATTTTTTAAAAGGTTGGTCCCACCATATCTATACTTATATAATAAGAATTAACATTTATCCAAAATAGTAGGTCAAATTATGGTCAATGTCGGATTTGCATTAAATATTTTCCAAAACCGGTAAGTTTTTGTCCTTTTCACACTTATCATTAATTATGTCCTTTTCACACATCTAATTAAATCATTCCATATGAGCTTTTATCGTTAAAATGTATAGCGATCTGTTATGACCTTATCCCATTGATATTTCCATGAAACGTCCTTATCGCGTTCTATTTTTTGGTAACCACTCTATATCAATAACCGGATATTTGGTTAATGATAGCACACGTCTTAATTTCAAGGAGCGGATATTCTTTGACCTTTAATTAATCTGAACTGATTGCCTTGACTTTTCAATTTTTAAAAACTCTTTTTTTAAAAACTCTTTTTTTATCACACGTTGGTCTTTTCCTGAAGAAACCCGTTTTTAGTCACGGCCAATTATATGTTGTTGCTTCACGTGTAAATAATAGAAGGGGGTTGAAAATATTAGTTTGTGATAATGAGAAGTTACCAAATAATCCAACTCATAATGTTGTGTACAAGGAGGTTTTTAATAATTTATGATTGTTACCGAACTTTTTATGATTCAATAATGTTCCTATGTATTTTAATGATTACAATTTCGATCCTAATGCACGTGAGATTATATTATTCTTCCAAATTTTACATCCCGTGCATCGCACGGGTTACGTACTAGCATAAATTAAGCAACAAAATGATAATACAAAAATATGAAAAAAAGAAATATTTCCTCACACTCCCACATTGGACAATAAAATAATAGAAAATAAATATGAGATATGGGAAAAGAAATTCCTTCCACGCGTGGCTTTACCTTTACAATTGGAAATTTGGAATCTTTACATCTTGTCCCACATAGGTAACCACAAATATATATATATATATATATATATATATATATATATAGGTAACCACAGATATATATATATATATATATTTGACCGGTTGAACCGACCGGTTTTTGTCCGGTTTTGACCGGTTCGACCGACCAATTTGACTGACAGACGGTTTCTTCCATAGAATCGGACCGGTGAACTGGCCGGTTTCCGGTTCAACCGGCCAGTCCGGTCCGGTTTTGACAACCTTGCTCCAGATAGGTTGCATTTGAGTTCTCCACGTGCGGGTGCTATTATTGATGAGCTATCATCAACCTATTAGAAAGCTTAGAGTATTCTGGAGTGGCAGGTCGCTATGTCAAAAGACCTTGCTGCACTTGATGTACTGGCACTTGGGATCTTGTTATGTTATGGTTACCATCACATGTCGTACCTATGATCCCATTGAGAGGTATAAAGATCGTCTTGTTGCTAGAGGCTTTCAGCAGACTCAAGAACGAGATTATGATGAGACTTCCGCTATTGTTGATCACATGAGAATTGTCCTGGTAGTCTAATTGAAGTGGTTGCTACTCGTTCTTGGACCATATCTCAGATGGATGTGAAGAATATATTCTTTCATGGTGATCTGAATGAGGAAGTTTATATGGCTACCACCAGGTGTTTATGCCCACTCCGGACATGTTTGTTTCATCGTGCTTTATATGGTTTCAAATAGGCTCCACATGCTTGGTTTGAGCGTTGTCTCTTACATATGGACGGACTGCTAGTTTTTCCTCTAGTGATCATGATCCTGTTTATTCATCTCCACGTGGACGTACTCTACTTTTTCTATATGTTGATATGTTGCAGAACATATTTCGAGAGACAACTTCGTAAACATATTTCGAGAGACAACTTCGTAGTAATTTTAGATGTTTGATTTGGATCTTCTTAGCTACTTTTTGGGCATTAAGGCGATGCACACTGTACCTTTCTCATTCCAAATATATACAAGACTTTCTTGTTTGTTCTGGTATTATTGATAACCAGACAGCGACTACACCTATAGAAGTGGCCACGATTCGAACCGGCCCGGAACCAGTCCCGAATCGGCCCAATCAAAACAGTTGACTGTGGGCCTTGAACCGACCATAGTTTTACCCAGGAACCGGAACCACAACCAGAACCAGCGGCTCGACGCCAAAATTCTTATTTAAAATTTGATTTTTTTATTTTTAAAATTTATTATTATATTTTTATTTTTTTTTTCGAACCGGCACTATCGCCGGTTAATTGAACTGGCCCTAGACTTTCTCAGAGTGATTTCAATTCAACAAAATGACGAACCTAAACCGGCGATTCTGAACGGGAACCAGGTTTAGGCCACGTCTACCTATGGATCTACACCTACAACTTCGTGCCACTGATGATACACCTCTTGAGGATCCCTCTCGCTATGGACACATTGTGGGCACTGGCAGTCTGGTTTACCTTACTTTATCCATGTTGTCCATATATTGAGTCAGTTTCTGAGTGCTCTTACTTCGGTTCATTGTGGGAATTTGCTTCGTGTGCCATGGTACTCAAGGGAAACATCATCTCAATTCGTGATAGTCCGCTTCAGCTACATGCTTATTGGCTCTACTTCGGCGAGTAATCACTTGTTCTTCATTTTTCATGGTTCCTCTCCTCTTACATAGACATAGAAATGTTGGCAATTGTATCTCGGTCTACCACACAGAGGTAAAACTTCGACCACTTGCCACTACCACTTCGGAAATTATATGGCTTTCATGGTTGTTAGCCGACTTTGTTATTCCATGTGATGCTCCTACACCTCTTTTTTGTTATAATACTAGAGCCATCCAAATTACCAATAATCCAACATGAAGTTACAAAACACATTAGTGTTGATTCTTCCTTTACCCGGTCTCGACAATTGTCGTCAGAATACAACTGTTCTTCAGTATGTACCCTCAGAACTGCAAGTGGCTGATTTTTTCACCAAAGCACAAACTATAAAACAACATCGGCTTCACTTGCTCAAACGCAATGCTTAGAATCCTCCACCCCACCTCCACCTTGAGTTTAAAGAGGGGTGCTACCTATATTATATGCCAACCCATATATACAAAAGCCCCTAAGTCTATAAATATGGGCATCTTCATAAGTGAAATCATCATTCATCCAAAAAACTAAGGTTCCTAACAGTAAATACCCAATAAATACCCAACGAAAGAGAAATGGAAGTAACCTAAGCCACATCGTGTTGTCTTTTGTGTACTTTTGTGTACCGTGGTAGGAGTAGGATAAATAAATAACTTTGTGAGGCAAGGTCTCATAACTAACTGAAAATTTTACACCAAACTTAATCCATTTCCCGCAGTCAAAATGCATACACTCATTTTAACTTCACTCGCATATCTTCATGCAATGATGTACTCAATGTCATTTGACAAAATTTAATATCCTTTCTTTTGATATAAAAACCTCAGATTTTTTTTATAAAAAAAAAAAAAAAAATCATTTCCTCTAAAATATGCAAGAATAGGTTATCTTTAACATTCATGCACCAGAACCAAATAAAATTATCTTTACAATTATTCATTCCAGAATGAACACAATTTTTTTAAAATACCCTTTCTAATATACAAGGTACTTCAATGGGAAAACATATATAAAAGCTAAATTGAAACAATACAACAAGGGTTTTATTCTCAAGTACCAGTGTATGGGCAACAGGACCATTTGTACACCACATTTTGTTCCCATTTAGAATATAACCACCATCAGCACGATCAGCTCTGCACTTCATGCTAACAACATCCGAGCCAGCTAAGTAAATAAAACAAAGTAATTCGAGTCATAAGAAACAGAACTAACCACCAAACTGTTCTTGTATGCATCAACAAGAAGATAGTTTTAGAATTACCATTAGGTTCACTCATTGCAAGAGCTCCTATATGCTCCCCACTTATAAGCTTCATTAGAAAGAAAACAATTGAGTCGGAAATTAGCCCATATTTATAAGTAGGCTCAAATCTTGGTAACTGTGTAACTATCAGTATGGGGCCTATTACACGTCATCATTAGACTAATTCATTTATCCATCTTCTATGAGTTAAAAATAGAAACTAAATTGCATTTCAATGAATTACGCCCCTTAGAAACTACCAAACACCTCATCTCTTCTCAATCTAAACAATGTAGACTACTGATATTAATTTTGATGTAAACAAGAGGGCATCGAAATGTGAAGTAAAACCTTTGGCAAGAACTTTTGCTTCTGAGCTGGAGTTCCATTCCTCACCTTCAACTCAGTGAAGTTACAAAGTTAAGAGGCATAAACTTTGGTCAAAAGATAGGTCAAACATAAGGAGAAGTTTTACCAATTGATTAATGCATAGGTTAGAATGTGCACCATATGACAGACCAACTGACCCTGAAGCACGGCTGATTTCTTCCATCGCAATGCAATGGTATAAATAACCAAGGCCAAGTCCTCCATATTCCTCTGTATGTACAATTGAAGTTAGGCATATTGTAATTTAAAGAATGAACATACAAAAACCAAAAAATAGAATGTTTCAGCAGGACAAGAAAAGTTCACTTAGACCAAGCTCGCTGGATAAGAAAGCTGAGCGGCAAGAATCTTATCTGAGCAATGATAATTCTCTATCTCAAATCCTTTATACTCCTAACTGATCTCCTAATTACATTTGACCAACTAGATAGTCACTTGTGAAATCCAGAAAGTAAACCACTACTAAATCCCGCTGGATAGTGAAACAAACAACAAATGAACCATCTACTGATTAGCTTCCTTCTGATAACAATTAATATGCACAACAAGAGTACAATAATTACTGAACATAACCGACTTAGTTCAATTAATATTCGGGAAAAAAAAAAAGATTTACTAATGAAATAAGATGAACTCCAAATATGTCCTTTGTCACTTTAGATCTTTGATGGATCGATGGGTAAGATAATTCTTGTGTCAAAGGTCATACCTGGGGCAGTGATGCCATGGAGATTGAAATCCCCCATCAATTTCCACAAATTAACTTCCTGAAAGTACATGGGCCTAAGTCATTATTCAATGATTAGCAAGGCATATAGAATATAATATAAGTGAGCAAATTATGTTACCTCAGGGAAATAGTTTGATCTGTCTATTTTTGAGGCATGAGGGGCAATATTTTCTTGAGCAAACTGAGCTACACTTTCTTTGAACTGTTAATAACACGATCAAAGGTTTACTAAACAGTCGGTAAATTAGTAAAATAAATATACAGCTAGGTTTAAGCAACAGTTGATAAGGTGTCCACATAACTGCCTACAAACCATAAGTAGAATAATTGATCCTAGGAAGTTGTTTCAAATAAAATTTTAGGGACCTTCTTTTAATAAGAAAGGTAGCTTTCATTTCACTTTGCACTTATTTCAGAGAGCAATCTTCAACAGTAGTCGAACACATGCTAAACGAACACACCAAAACAAGCAATCAAAACCTTTTTTTTTTTCTTTGTTCTTATTAACAGCCATAGCCCAATTATGTGAGAAAATTGAATAAATTAAGATCATCTAGCCATCTGTCATTTCCACATAGCAGAAATCAATCGTCTAAACAATGAAATCACTATCATTCGGGAAATAAAACAAAAACAAACCGTAGTACTTATGAACACATGCTTAACTAACACACCAAAACAAACAATTGAAACCCTTTTATTCGTTGTTATTAACAGCCATAGCCCAATTATGTGAGAAAATTGGAAAAAAATTAAGAGCATCTAGTCATCTGTCATTTGCACGTAGCAGAAATCAATCGTCTAATGAAATCACTATCATTCAGGAAATAGAAGAAAAACAAACCACAATCAAGAATTATTTTGATTTGTGCAAGAAACAATCTCCGCAAGCTTCAGCTCAATCCAAAGTCCACCAAACAACCAAACATCAATAACTCAAATGATGTGCACATAAAAATACACGCGCATGCACGAGCACAATGGTAAAAAAAAAAAAAAAACACCTGTTTCTGGGTATCATCAAAGAGGAGTGATGTGGAGAAAGCAGCAGCATGGCGATTGAGGAGTTGTTTTCTGAACAAAGAAGATGCCAGCGACCTCACTGTAAACAGTTTCTGCATTTTCCTGCGCCGTGCAAACGATCTTGTGATAATTGACAAGATTAATATTGAGTACAAAGCCTTGTCAAAACTCAAAAAGCCTTAAGAAGATAATCGAAGACGAGTAGGCAGTAGGGAGTAGGGAGCCTTAAAGAACACCGAATTTGTACCATTTGCATCAACACATTAGTTCCACGCTAACTCAAGCGATCTCCTAATCCAAAACGCAATCTCAATTTTTTAATTCACAATAATTGTCACACCAACCACTCTCCAAATATTTAATTCATTTTCAAACTTAAGAATATATACTCTTTTATTTTTTTCTGCAAACGAAATCAAATTACTCAATAAGATGTCTTACAACACGAAGGCCTAATAGGCACGCATATTTTTCAATAAGAATATATACTCATCATGTTCTCTTTTATATCAATTTTTATTATTTTTCAATATTGCACACATATTTAATAACTTTTACGAATTTGACCAATATTATTTTATATAATCTAGCTATATATATTTATATATAATAGTTAGTTATTATACATTGATGATGCAAAAGCCAAATTATATTTTAAAATACATAATTATATTTTATTATTTAACTTTAAAAAAAATATTATTTCAATTTATTATTACTCTTTTAATAGAATGTTGAAAAATTATTTTATAGTATTTTTATAATTTTTCAAAAATAATTTTATAAATATTTTCACAATTGTTTGATTGTATTCAAAGTGTTTGTATGATTTTTAAGAAATGTTTTATAAATAATTTTGCTAAATATCATTCGAGGAGCCACCGGCGAAAAATACAAAGTATTGATCCAGCACCACTGATCTAGGCAAAAATACTCCCACGACGCTTTAGCTCAATATCACCGCATTAAGCCTTACTAATGCAAATGAGCGAACGACCGATCTACGTCAAAGGCGTCTGCTACAACGTCACTGAAAAAGGTTTCTTATTGCGCATGTATAGACCATCAAATATTTTATATATTTTAAATGTGTATAAGATGGGCAAAGTTACACATGGTCATGTATCCCACTTGGATCAAACATATATTCATGGCAATAATCGTTGTACTTTTGCTTATATTTTAGCACGACTGTTGTATTTGCATTTTATATGCGATCGTTGTGCTTCATATGCAATATCTTGGCAAACCCTTTTTACTCGATCGCCATGCTCCCCGCGAAAATTCAATGACAACGTCATACTCTTTCAATATTAAAAACAAGAGATGAAAAATATTAGAATATAATATCACTTGTGAGTTGTCCACATCGTTTATATAAAGAAAATAGGTTTAAATCTATTTGTGAGTTGTTTAACTCTAATTGTATTTTGTTGGTGAGTTTAGTAAATTTGGCGTTGCGGTTGGCGACAGTCGGAGACGTAGACAATATTGGTCGAACTCCGTTATCAGGTTCATGTGTTATTTTTCTTTCTTTCTTTTATTTATTTATGTTGACTATTCGTTAGTAGTAGTGCTTGGTAATTGCTATATTTGTTGTAGAAGTATTTGTCAGTTGCGTTTGTTGTGATACCTCTACATCTAATACAGACCGTTAGAATTTCCCTAAAATTATGAATTCCAAGTTTAATTGAAATGTTTGCCCACTTATCCTCAAGAAATGATGCATCATCCACCAGCATTAAAATTTTTAAAGTTTGTTTGACCTCGGACCTTAGATTTCTCTTCCCAAATTTTGACTGGATACATGAGAATGAGGCTTAGGTATTAGCCTAATCGCGAAGGTGATTGACTAGTTAGTTCCTTTGAATATGCCTCTGATGATCTAAATTTTGTAATGTGAAGGGTCGTGAGATCGGATGGGGGTATTTTAATAATTTTGCTCAGGATGGAGAGTTTCACTTACTAGGGAGGGTACCAAACTCTGGCGAGAGTAGGCAAAAATTGTAAGACTTTCAGGTCAGCAAAGGATACTCAAGTTGGGGAGCACTGAACGTTCCATACCAAGATAATCGCTATCTTGCGCAAGTCTTCTTCTTTTCTTTGTAACCTCAAGTAGACTTGGACATTGTTTTTTCTTTCTTTCAGGCAAAATTTCAATTCTAGAGCTCCGTTCAATTTTCATCATGAAATTCCAAACTTCCACTTAAAAACATTCGTGTACTTGATATACCTCACCTGACCAGCCACTTTTAGCGTTCGGGTTTTGCATCTTTCAAAGGGTAAGAAAACCTGCGTAAGCAAACAAAAGAAATGGGTATCACTAAAAAAATTGCATTCTTAATAGCCGGGAGACCTGCCAACTCAGGTGACCCTACGAAATCATCAACTGGTTCGGGTCGTACTTATCACCCTCCTCCAATTTTTAAAAGAATAAATGTAAACCACCAAAATAGACAACTGTCTAAATAATTGAACATAGCAGCACCACCACACAAGCAGCTATAGTGAAAAGGACAACTGGAAACATAGCTGCCAACATCAGCTTATATTTCTTATCTATAAAAATTGTTAAATTTTGGTAATAGGATATACATGCTACTCTTTCGAGCATAAGAAAAAAGCATACGGGCCCTACCTATAAGCATTCCCCCCCACCCCCCACAACCATAAATACTATAGTAATAAAATTTTTCGTTCCAATTCTCCAAATAATATAGCTGCCAGATGTATAATCCATGGGCAAAATACATTCATGACACCCATAATACAAGGAGACATTNAAAAAAAAAAAAACAGGCACCAAAGATATCGGTTATCGACTCTGATAAATTAGGAAGAGTTCAACGACCAAAAGTTACTTCCAAAATGCATGTTTCTTCAGTTGGTATTTATCCAGGCATCAAAATCAGGAACTGATTCTTCTTGAAAACTGTCTTCTTCAAATGGGAAGATAATTACTTACTATAGACAGAGTCCCAAACAGTTTTACTCCGACTCTGAATCAATAGAAAGATATAACCTTGGTCTTACAGAACGCCGTTGGCGAGGAAAATTGAAAGGACTATCTGATCCTTCCCTAGTTGCCTTACCAGACCTATTCCCATTCATTCCAAGTAACAATGATGCTGCCAAAAAAACAAAGAAAGATTTCTTATTAAAAGAAGAAAAGGAGAAACAAAATAACAAAGAGAATAATCCAAGCCACACCCAGACAATAATAACTAGACCCAGATCATCCACATCATCTACAGCCATTTAAGATATGAGAGTGAGTACTATTGTACCATTGCATTTCATATTGAATCACATATAAGTAACTTACCATCAAGGTAGACCCATGTGCAGAATATGCCATAAGGTCAAATCAATAAACACACGCACACACAGATAGAAAACTATCCCAGATGCTTAGCCTAATTGTAAGAATATAGGAAAACACATCCTAAAAACAACCTAACTATTTTCGTAGTTATGTAAAATTCTTAGGAGTAACATCACATACCACCTTTGGTGGGTCAGACGGCTCGCCTGGACTCCTTACAGCCCAGGTTCAGAAAATGGTAGGTTTTAGGATTTTGGTTTTGAAAAAAAAAAAAATAAATAAAAAAATAAAAAATAAAAAATAATAAAAAAACAAAAATCACATACCACCGTCTGCCAGTGTACCCAAGCCACCATCACCCGACTGCACTTGCTGCCCGGAACCCACGCGAGCCCCAGGACCAGTTTCACCTTGACGACCCCCAACACCATCCCCAAGCCTCAGAGAAATCCAATCCTCCGTGCCAACACCACCAGCACCACTGTTTGGAACATCTGCATCTCTCAAGTTCAATTGCATGCCCGAAGGCCTTGTCGGGAGAAATATCTGAAGCGAAGGGTCATTTCCCCCAAATGCCAGCGGATTATCGATCAACCCATCGTTCACGTTAGAACGCTGACCGGGCCCACTGGTGGACTCAGGGACGAGCGCAGCAGATCCCATGGCAGCAGTCTCGGCAGTCATAGTGTAACCATTCATTGAAGAAGACGAGCAGTTAAGAGGCCCTTGGTGCTGCTGCATGTCGACCAAGGCATCACTCACGTCCACATCAGATCCAAACAGCTGAAACCCGGCAGCACCCCCCTGATTTCCAGAAGGCAATGACCACGTGTTCATTCCAAAATCATCCTCGTTCACATTGAAAAGGCCGAGACAAGAGTTCCCCATGTTGCCGAGAGCTGGATTTTCATAGTAAGGGTCGGGAATTTGATTCTGCACAACGCTCGGGAACTGGGGCCCTCCGACATCTGGTCCGGAACTATTCTTGTAAACGACGGCGGCTCCGGAAGATGTCTGCGGCTCGATTTCTTCTTCATCTGAATCGCTGAGGACGATTATATCCCCCGCCGCATCGCCAGCTGGCACGAACCCATTGGCTTCTGCCGCGTTGATCATCGAGATCGATTCGTACTCGACCCCGTTGACCGTGGAGAAATCGAGGGTGGTGGGCCCACCATCCTGGTTCACGCTGGCGTCTTCGCACTCGCGGCCGCTGCCAGTGGCGCTGCTGCTCATGGGAATTACGTTGGGGCTGTTTTGGAAATTCTCGTGGGTTTTATTGGCAGGCGAGATAACCCAGCGGCCATTTTGGTTTTTTCTCATTCCTAATCTTAGTCCGGGATTGCTATCGGAGCCCACTTCCTGTTTGACGGGTTTGAGTTCGGGTTTGGGTTTGGATTCAGCTTCCATGGATGCACAGATGCTACCGTCAGGCGAATGCCATAGCCCGAGCTCTCCAAGAGCCCTTCGATCCCCACCCTCTGCCTTGGCGCGCCAGGAGCCGTCGGGCTTGACCTCGATTTCAGCCACGTCTTCCCCACATTTTTGCAGCTGTCAAACATAATTGGGGAAAAAAAACATGTAATATGAAAGTCGAAACAAAAAAGTACTTGGTCTCAATGGAATGGAAAGCTGGTACCTTGGATGTGATTCGATTGAAATATGGATCGATGATGATTTTCTCCAAAGAGTAGTTCTTTAGACAAATGGGGCATTGCCACTGCAGTCACAAATAGGTAAAAGAAGTGTATTGAAATCGGGCATGATACTCCAGCTATATCATTGGGTAATTTCTTAGTTTTTATCTAAATGGCATTTACGAAAAAAATCAAATGTCCCTCAGTTGGTTTACTTTAAGAATATCTTTTCTCTTGATTATAAAGAAAAGAAGCATCTTACCCCAAAAGTGAAAATGAGGGGGCTAAAAGAAAAGGGATGAGGGAACCTATCTTATTAGGCAGTAACAAGAAATAATTAGGTCACAATGGACTTGCCTTCCTAGAGCGTTGGTTCATTTCCACAAACACTTCAAGATCAAAACAGCCCATATGTGCACAAGGTTTAAATCTTCCAGCCACCTTCATTCTTAGACCACTCATCTGAAGTACCCATGAAAGCATATATGAATCAGTAGAGAGAGACAAGAACCACAAAAATCAAGATGTCTAGCCAGTGAATCTCATTCATAAAATACATGTGAATATACTTTTGGAATAAACAACTGTGTAACCAAATCAATTTAACATGGATTAAGTAACATAAGATCCATCCATCATAAAACTGTGATTTTACAAGCATAAATGCCATCTAAGATGTGTTTGATCAAATGTAATTTAGTAGCTCGAAAATATTCACACCCCTGGAAAAGGCTAATCTGAGTAGTTCAACCGGCACAATGGGGATATTACTACATGCAACTACTTTGACATGGGGCAGCAGACATGCTGTGTTGGGTTACAACAAATCTTGATTGACAAGTCATTTTGCAAAAAGAGCAAGGATATATTTCCCAAAGAAAGACTAATTTGCATGAAACATTTTGATTTCACAAAAAACTTGTGTACTGAAAAAGCAAAAGTGTAGGTAACAAATAAAAAAAAAAACAAATGACCCCCAAAACAGAGAAAATATCTTGAAGCTGGGAACCAAAAAAATATACTCTTAGCTTGAAAGCCAATGAAACCTAGAGAATTTGTGGGATTGTTGAAAGATTTAAGATGATATACATTGACAGTTAACCCAGTTATTGTCGAAAACATCCACATCAGGTATTTTATATCATATTTAAATTATGAGAGAATCAAATATAACTTAATAAACCATGAACCCCTTTTATCGACAGCATGATAATAAACAATCAAATGCATAAATTGTATTCGTTTCAAAAATTTAAAGTTCAACCAATAATGTTAAAACTGCTTACCGGACAACGAAGATTAACAGGAATAAAATCAGCAACAACTTCAATATCACTATCACTATCAGCATTTTCTGTTGGAGCCCCACCACCAACACACCTACGAACACGAGCCAGTGCATCCTCAAAGAGCTCTCCTTCCGACTCTTTCGGAATAATGTTAAGAACCTAAGAAGAGAAGGCATAATTAAATCATGTTTCTGCACATAGTAGGCTGGAAACAAGCATTTGTCAAACTCTTCCAACCTTGTGATCAAGGAGAAGATGCTGCGACACGATGCAACCACAAAAGCAAAAGCACACTCAACAAAGAAAAAGAAAGAACTGCCATACCCAGCCCAACTCCGAACAGCATGAAAAGAAGATTGCATGACCAAGGAAAAAATGAACAAAAATCACCATACCCAGAAGGCATACATGATATGAGAGCAGTACAATCAAATAAAGAACCTGTCTCCTTCATTACTTTCAAGTGAAAAAATCCATTGTAAAAAGTAGTCCAAAACAATAATATAGCAAAATCAGCATACCTGCTTCAAAGTGCGCCTCTTGACAATTCTAACTCCCACGCAGAAAACGCGAGCATCACATCCCCCTAAGAAGATCTTATTAATTCCATCTCTGGTGCACGGTGTAATCTAAACATAGAAGAGCACGTGTGAAGGAAACATCAAAAACAATGTAGTCCAGGAAATTAAGTTCAAATATTTAATAGAGTTAATGATTCTCCCATGCCCAACGAGGAAAAAATGAGGGCACGTCATATAGAGGATGATATTAATAATGGCAAAGTAATCAAAACGATCAAATATCCAAGATATTAGAGATTAGTTGCTTTGCATGTGGCACATGGAGGCCATAACTAATATTATAGCAATACGACAAAATCTAAAACCAGTATTTCCTCAACCAATGTTCCAACAGAAGCAGGACATAAGTGGAATCAGCAGGTGAATTTACAAACCTTTGAGCAAACAAAGTAATAGACACAACTAGTACTTTAATTTGAGAAACGGTTAAAAAGCGCAACAATTGTTAACCAGAGGGATAAAACTCACAACAGGGCCATCATCCCGTCCATTAGCTCCTAACAACTGAGAACCAGGTCTGTTTATCGCCCTCACAGGTACACCTGTCGACCAGAAAGGTAAAACTAAGAGGGACAGTGAAATCTAGTATATAAAGCAGCTCAACCATTTACATGAAAACAAAATCACAACAAAAGTTAATGTATCATTAGATGAAATTGCCATCAGAATGCATCCTTCAAGCAAATCCTAGACAAACTGTGATTTACACTACAAAGCTAGAACACAATGAACAAAAGAATATCCATAACCAATATATGTGGTCATCATCTCTAGGTAAAACTCAGAAGACGTATTAACAAATAAACAAATATTACTGAAGAAAGAACTATAATATAATTAGGCCATGCGTATGTGAGTGAAATCTCTCTCAGGAGATATAATACCATTAATCTGTAGATCAGCATATTGTGGCCACTGCATCCTGAACATCACCTTGTCATTAAGAAGCATGCACCATGCCTAATCATCAATACCAAGGCAGTCATAAGCATCAAAGCGATCAACATATATACTCATGCTGAAAATACAAATGTTACAATGACAGGACTTCTTATCAACCTGAACATCAAATTCCTGTTTTGACAATAAGTCCCTATCCGCACGCGTGAGTTGAAATGTTTTCTCAATGCTCTGACTAGGACTTGAGCTGGAATACAAGGGAAAGTCACAACTGAGCATTGGATAAGTCAAGTGTCGCAAAATCAAAGATCAGATTAAAGAATCTTTCAAAACCAAAAACTTGAACAGAAGCAGATTCGTTTCCACAAAATCAGATCTCTCTCTCTCTCTCTTCCCCCCCCTCTCTCTCTCTCTCTCTCTCTATCTCTCTCTCTCGTCCATATTACGTGATCTAGGTTACAAAGAACTCATAGCAACTAAATAAAATTATACGAATAAATCCAACAGATGTTTAGGGTCAAGTCAACAAGTAACTAACTTGCACATAATGTACTATACATCTTGAAGTTCAACAGCTAAAAGGATTCCAGCATATACTTACCCGTCCGCAGGAACATTAGTGATATTCAACTTAACAGGATTAAGGGGGTGTGCAACTGTCACCAAAAAGCTGCATAATGAAAGTTCAACCACATCACAAGGTAACAAGGTCCAAAAATTAAACCCAGCAAAAAAGACAAAAATAGTATTTAGGCCACATATGCTAATAATTTTTTACTTCAGATTGAGGAACAGCAATCGTCAAAAAACTTGTGGACAACACAAACCAAGATATAGTGATTTCCATAGTCCCTTTAAAGATCATAAATACAAGAATAAAAAATAAATGCAAGGTTTGCTTAGAGTTTAGATACCTTCTATGATGAGGATAAATAATTTATGTAAGAGCCGTATCACGGGGCTTAAAAATGATGATGATAAGGATTCAAGGAGAGAGGCACAAGAAGAGAATTAGAACAAAACCTTGGATCAAAATGGAGAGAATCGACTAAGTAAGCTTAGGCTAAGATTTTGTTTGCATCCGATATGATAATAGGAAAAGAAAAGATAACAATAAGCAACCTATACATCCGTAAATAGACCTTTTCCTTACAGACTCTCTAGGAAAGAAGCCATTAAAATATCTCCAAAGAGAAATTTAAACAGTAAGCATGACCATGAGAAACGTTATTAATTTTAAGATCAATATTAGGTTTAATTTGATTCTACCTAAATGGTTAAACAATCCTTAAGACCATTACACAAGAGCAAAAACTTACGATTAGCCAAATTAGAGACCACGACATCTAATTGCCTAACATTGGGTTACCATGCTTAACAGATAATACATCTTATTTGGACATGCCCAATCAAAAGCCTGTAAAACGCAAAGAAAATTTATCTACACCTTTTCCTTTGAGTAAGTTCAAATCTCTAAGAAACACTTGTGCAAGAGAATGCTATCATCAAAACACAACTCCAGGCCTCCTTGAACAGTTCCAAACAAAGAAAAAGACATTCGCGAGTTCTTAAAAAATGAAGGAAAAATAAAACAAGGGAGAAAAAGATGAGAAAAATCCTCTTGCACCAACAGACAACCGTCCTACACTGATGAAATATTTTTATATACATAACCATAGTGGTAATCTATATACACATGCAAACTTAACAACTCAGTTAAAAAAATTACTATACTGCCGCATGTTAGTTTAAGTCATATTCTAATGGCTGAACTAACTGTTTCCACTTTACCATTTAAAGTCAAATGGTGTCACGTTAGCTCAGAGCATAAACTACTTGTTAAAAGTGAAGGAAGTTGTAATTCAGTTTAGGAGTGGAATAAAGAAACATCTCTTTTCCCTCGGTTTTATATGATAAAATGACACCACTGAAATAGGAATACTGCCACTTACGGGTCAGCACGACTTAGTCTGCAAATTTCACAGTAAAAGATATCTGGTGGGTTTGGTAAGACACCCTCCACGGGTTTCTCAGGAATCAGCACACATGCCATATGCTGCCAAACATTACACCTAGGATCTTCACACTGCAACAAATGTCAATAGCTAAAATATTCAAAAGACTCGCCAAGGCAAAAAATAAAGTCCAGACACGAAGGGTATGTCCAAGATTAAAGTCTCTATAAGCAAATATGTATCACCTTGATCATTGAATCAGTTGCCAAAGTGCTTCCACAAACACATCGAATCTTTTCCATCTGATAAGAATCTTCAGCTTCCTCTTTATGTTTTATGCTTGGACTATCAGAAATGGCTTGCGATTTTGAGGCTAAGTCAGCCGCCCCAGAAACCTGCATTTTTCTGAAAATAGCGATGAAAAACATATGTAAGATCATCTAATGAGGAAAAAGGGGATACCTTCCATTCCAATTTTGTATACACAATTTTATGCAGTGTTGCAAAACTCTCAAGTTTTAGTTTCCACACTTTTCCTCCACCTGCTCGTTTGCTAGTTTTTCTCTTTAAACTTGTTTGCTTATTGAACTCAAAGGTAGAAAGTCAATATGTATTGTATTTTTCATATTGGATTCTTAATATTGGAAAATGTGAATTAAAAATATGTATCATGAACAAGGGAGAATAGAGAACTCAAGCATACATTTATACAAGTGACAATAATCCATGAACTGAACAGAAAATAACACCTGTAAGTGTCATCAACTAGCTTTGCCACTCCCTCCTTTCCAACAGCATTTTTCTTTGCCCACATCCCCGAAACTGTGAAATACAATATTAGAGACATCTTGAAATGGAAAGCAATCCATCATTAAAAGGCATCCAAATAGGTGAATGAAACATTTCAATCTGAAAATTAACTTCATCGATTTCCATTCTAAGAGATACTATCTTTTATAAGCAAAAAAGAGGGAAGAAGAGCTTTTTGGTTGGATCAGCAAAAGAGCATTGACGTTGTCAAAAACTTCTTTTCTTGTTATCCACACTATCTTCCTCCTGTTTGATCAATATCCACTAGGAAAGCCATGAAATAGGTGGTACAACTATTGCTTTACTCAGCTAGTTAAGTCAACTGAATTTCCAAGTTGCTTCTTTTGCCAATGCAAAATAAAATATCATCAAGGACCATGTGAGATATTGATTTATCTATAATGGATATCAAAATTGGTGGAGGAGTCAGACCTGAGACTAATTGGTGGTTAACAGGTATTCTAAAAAGTTAAGAAAATTACTTCCAAAAGGAAAACAGAAAGATAAGGCATAGCATATAGCATCAGGTGCAGATGAACAGCAAAATCCAAATTTAATAAATTACTTTAAAAAGAGATTTAAATGTTTGAAGTTCCTAACTGGCTCACAGACTAGGTACACTGTAGGTAGAATCCTATCGATCACAATAAAAGAAGATTTTAAAGTTAGAAGAACATAAAATAATGAACTCCATGCAATGCTTCTTATATTCTAAAGGCCACCCACGCAAGCAAGAAATAGAAACCTAAATTATCAACCAGATTATGTAAGCATTTAATTGTTGTAAATTATCTTTCCAACTATCTAGATGTCATCTGTAGAAATAAACAGAATAAGCAATCCAAACACTTGTAAAACAGATTTTTTTTGCAAGCTAAGTAACTAAAAGATCACATTCCGACTTACCTTGCTCATCAGAGAGAACGGCCAATATTCGATCAACAAGATCCTGTGCCATGAAAAACAAAGACAAACCGCTAAAAATCTTTTGTATGAGAATTCCAAAGAATTTATAAGTAAAACTAAGCCTTTTAGTATTTAGTCAGTTACTTGGATTAAGTTTGATAAACACTATCTACATTCAAAAGCCAAAGTCTAGACCAAAAAACTAAGAAGAAATACATCGAACTCCAGGTTTTTTGTCAATAATGACTGTGACACAATAGCTAAATTGCCATAAAAATTATATGAAGGCAACAAAAACAAAAGAATCAATCTAACCCCAGGTTTTCTATCAATAATGAGGAATGCATTTATAAGTTCTCATACAGAAATAATGAAGGCTAGGAGTTACAAAAGGATTCTTCATAAATTCAAACAAAGAAGTATTTAACATCAGCAATATTGTTGACATATAACCTGTTTCTTTCCCTGCTTTGAAAGACCTAGCTGAGTAAGGACATCTTTGAGCTCCTTTATTCGAAAATATGCTAATTTGTCCTGCAAGTCAAAATAAAATGCTCACACGTTTCGCAAAGATCAAAAGTTAGAAAGAAAATTGATTTTCTTTCTATGGACAATGGATATCATTGTAGGGCAAAACTTAGGCACGTATAAACAATCAAAACATCGATCACAACCTCATTTCTCGTCAGCTAAACAAGGAAAGGATATTTCATCTAAAAGAAATGCATTTTCCAAAGTTAGGATTCCACTCTGAGCTCCACCCAGAAATGCCATTAGATTCTGATCTTACACAGAACATGGACCATGTTTTAAGAAAGGCATAGCATCCTACATCTCTCATGAGAACTAATCACACAGATCAAACATCCTCTTTTTGCTTACAACTGCAAATGAAAATTCACTTGTTTCCTACATCCTAGCACGTGCATCTGCATGTGATCTGAACAGGTGTGGTGTACGAGTAGCTTGTTATCAGAACTTACTGAACTTTAGGCATCTATGAACAACTCAACATACTCCATTTATGGACCAATTTATGGTAAGATTATCAAAACAATGCTTTTGGTTGTCAAAAAACAAGAAACAATTTTACTCTTCAACCATCATTGGGTAGAATAATACAGGTAGAACACTCAAACTACGAAATCTGAAACCCCAAAACAAAGCAGAGCAAAACAATTAAGTTGTCAGACCCTATACACCTGATTCAACAGGTTTTCAAAGCCCAAAGAAGTATGTTTCTGCATGTGTTATCAAAGGCAGATGGCAGAAATTGGCGACAGACTGAAATCCCGCCACAGCGCCTGCCATGGCGGCTTCACAAATTTATAATAGCGGTTAGGCACAAATCCACCATGCCATGGCGCTGCCGTAGTGGAAATTACATAACATTGGTTACCGCAGCAGATGGCTCTACATCCGTGATCTTTCTGATGATGCACTTTGAATTCCAATGAGTAATAAATACAGATGACCCGAGTCCCCATTTTCCATATCTAAACTTGAAGGAAAATAAGCCTAGTTAGGTAGCCAGATCAAATAAAAGGAAAGAACAGGTTGACACTCCAACAACCAGAGTTCAAACTAATGCTTAGGTGCAGAAGCAGCGCCAATGATATTCGTATCTTTTATCTAATTTTATATTTTCAATTTCTATCAAATCTCAGTCTGAAGACAATAGCAAGGGAACAGAATAACACTTGATCAAGAGTTCATTTTGCATGAAACTAAGATCAAGGAAAAACAAAGAAGAAATGACCACAATCAACCTTCGCAACAGCATACATGAGTTAATGGAAGCAAGCGGCTAGGGAAAGTTTAACAGAACAAAAGGCGACGCATGAAAAATGCTTTTGTTACTTCTCATTTATTGTTATTTGGTTATTTTCCTAATTAAGTTTTCCTCGATGTTATATTCATCTTATTTATGTCGTTTAGTAGTTCCCATTTATTTCTTCCCGACAAGATTCAGAATTAATTAGGACTTTGAAAGATTAATATTCTGCTTGAAATCAAAACATTTATGAAGACGCAAATTGAAATTATAGAATTTGCTATTTTTATTCGACAACGTGACATGCTGTAGACAGCAACAACCTGTAATTTTTACGCTTTTTTATGCATAAAAGGTGAAAATGACTAAATATGTACATGTATGTGTCATTCTGAAATTACATAGAATTAAGAGAATTAACATCATAATACTTCCAAATCCCAATTCTTTAGAATACTGTGTGGGACAAAAAATAAAGAAATCATATTACACCATTTCTCTCTCACATTGCTAGCATCCCATTATCTCTTCCACGTTATGACGAAATTAAAAGAAAGATGAATCCCATGCATGGAAAGCAGTAAAGAAAACAATGTTCTGCGACAAATGAGTATTTGAAAGAGAAGTAATAATGCATGCAAAACCAGTCAGCCATCTGGAATATTAAAAATAATTCTTCTCTCATAAGCTTAACTCTGAAAGGCATCTTTTTCTCAATAACTCATGGCTACAAATCACCACACAAATGATAATCAAAACTTGCACGACAAAAATGTTTAACCATAATGGTGACAAAGATCGGACTAATAGCTTGCCCTCAGATCTGAACTTCAACATCCACACAACCGGATTTTAACACAGCAGACTGATAGAAAAAGGAATAGTACTGGTGAAGTTTCATTGCATTTTATCGAGTTTCGCCATCTGGGTCAGCATCAGGCTCAAAGCAACATAAACCAACATAGTTACTTTAATTTTCACCTTTAGTCATACCCATTTATCAGTTTTTTAATTATTTTTCTAGTTAAATATGTTGATTAAACTTTGACTCCCCAAATGAATTTCTTACTAGACTCCCAAGTGCAAATGAACAGATAAGCCTTTTAATATTTAACATTTAGATAATACTTTGGCGTCAATTTCTTAAGAAGCGGTTTGGCAGCTGCTAATTTACCTGTAAAGATTGAAAATTAACTATTTCAATTCTAAGGCACATATAAGAAGTGCACGAACAATCGATGAGATTTACATCATTGCATAAACAACCATTAAAGTCACAAATTCATGTATTTAACTATCGACATTCTGGTGACACATTTAAATGAGCCACATATAGGAATTTGTCACTTAAGCTGGATGAATCTAACATCCAATGAACAAATTATGCAAGTATAGCAGGCCGCAGTAATATATCAACCTTCACATGGTAAACAGGTTTGTTAAGAAAATCTCACAAATGAGTCTGCAATATAAGATACTAAGTTTAGCCGTTGTTCAACAATAGTGAATTATATATGAATTACGTGTCTCAAAAGAATGCCATGCAAGGCTCAGCAAGACAGAAAAAAAGCTGCTAATGCATCTCATTTTGGCTTCAGTTAGGAGGGGATGGTATTGGTACCGTACCGGCACACATAACGTCCAAGAGACGATCAATCATTGAAACTATTACCATATCAGACATAACCAATACAACAGTAAACTGACGAATTCAAAAGAAAGTACAATCTAATAACAGAGAAGGCAAAACGGCAAAACACAAGTCCCAACTATTTGAGCTAAATCTTATGTTACTTACCTTGCAACTAGCCACCAGGTCCATCCTCTTAAACCCCAACAACTATTCTACAGCAACAGACTTCAGAAGAATCAGCAAAAGGACCAAAACTGAATTTGATGCCGAGTTCTCAATTCTCATGCAACTTGGTTAATCAACATCTGAATCAATCAAACAAACAAGAATTAACCATTCAAATCTAGAACACCAAAATATCAATCTACAAGCACAATCAGAACCCAAAAAAGATATGAATGCAAAAAAATCCGCACATAACCAAAAGTCATCTGGCAAGTATTAATTCAGACAAAATGGATGGAGTGCTGGAAACTACTTAGGAAGAAATTTAGAATAGAGAGAAAATTGATGAGTGCATAGCCTCATAAGGGTTTGAAGACCAAACCGATGAATTCGCAATTCCGCCGCCGCCTTCTCTCACACACAATAGCAGGAAAATGAGTTCTTTTGACCCAAGAAGCAGCCGGAAGAGCTACCAAACTACCGGACGTACCATCGGTTTATCAATTCCGGTTAATTTCACACACACATCCGGGTTGGGATTACCTGCGATAAAGTGCACATGTCGGTTCACTTCGGCCTCAATTCTTATTATTATTATTATTATTATTATTATTACTCAATTGTAATTTACCGCCCCTTTTACTAGTCACCGTCTCCTTTATTTATTCTTTTGCCATAACCTTATCTCTCTAAACTTTCTATCTCTCTAAATTCCCGAACTTTCAACGAGCGATTCGAGCACCGAAAAAAATCCGAAAATGTCGAAAAAATTCTACGGCATCGACAAAGCGTTCTTCTCTAGCAAGGTAATTTTTTTTTTTATACATGAATAATTTTTAAAAAGAAATGTAATTCTGAATCGCGTCCGGCCGTCGCCTCCGGACGGCCCAAAATGCGTCCGGACCGGCCGGCCGGACGGC